GAGATTTTTTAAGTATGCTTTTAACGCCGATATTACTAAAATGTATAGGCAAATACTGTTGGATTCAACTCAAACAAAATATCAAAGAATTCTGTTTAGAAAATCTCCAACAGACCCAGTTGAAGACTATGAATTACTAACTGTAACATTTGGAGTAAATTGCGCACCGTTTCTGGCACTGAGAACTCTTATGAAATTGGCAGATGATGTTCAAGATTCGTATCCAAGAGCTGCAAGAATTATAAGACAAAATCTTTATGTGGATGATGTACTTGCGGGTGGACACACAATCGAGGAGACTATAAAAGCTCGGAAGGACTTAGTAGCAGCGCTCGAATCCGCTGGATTTCAACTTATGAAATGGGCCTCAAATTATCATACAATAATAAAAGATATTCCACAAGAAAATTTATTGCCTCTTAACTGGTTGGATATCTCTGAAGATGCGTCCACGAAAACGTTGGGAATTCGATGGAATATATCAGGTGATTTTTTCACTTTTACACCTCCAACCGTGGAAAACAAAAACATTTACACAAAACGAGAAGTTTTATCAACTATAGCCAAATTGTTTGATCCATGCGGATGGCTAGCGCCAATAGTGGTCGTAGCAAAACTGATAATGCAACAAATCACCCATATAAATTGGCAAAACTTTGTCAAAAATAGCAATGATATTAAATCTCTCAGAGTTCCAAGATGGATACAGTTTACACTAGATGCTTCTGTTGAGATTCGTGGATTTTGTGACGCATCGGAGAGCGCGTATGGAGCAACGCTATATGTTCGGATTGAAAAAACTGACCATACCACACACACCTTTTTATTAGCAGCAAAGACTCGTGTAGCACCAATCAAAAAACTATCAATACCAAGGCTCGAATTATGTGGGGCAGTATTACTTTCCAAATTAGCAAAATCTATTACAAACAGTCTACAAATATCAAAATATTCAACACATTTTTGGACAGACTCTACTATCGTCTTGGCCTGGTTAAAAAAGCCTCCTTGTCACTGGAGCACCTTTGTGGGAAATAGAGTCTCGGAAATATCTGATAATGTTGGGCAAGAAAACTGGAAACATGTTGACTCTGCAAGCAACCCAGCTAACATTGCTAGTCGTGGATGTTCTCCAACTGAACTAACGACTCATGAGCTCTGGTGGCATGGACCTCAATGGCTCAAAATGCCAAAAGATCGTTGGCCATCGCAAGATATCCCAAACGACACAAATTTAGAGGCTAAAGCTGTAAAAGTTCTGACTATATTTCAAGAAAGAGATGATCCATTAAAAAATTTCTCATCATTGGCAAAAGTCTACCGATCATACGCCTATGCTCTGCGATTTTGGAAAAATACTGGCGCAAATCGGCAAAATCTTCGCTCCTCATCAATAGATCTTACCGCAGCCGAAATCCAAGATGGAAAACGATCTTGCATAATTTGTACACAAAAATTCGTTTATGCAGATGAATATAATTCACTAATGAGAAAGTCTCCAATTTCTCCATCTAGCCCTCTATTGACGTTAAACCCGTTTCTCGACTCAAAGGGTATTATTCGAGCTAATGGCAGATTAGTTCAATCTCCAGCCCTTACATATAGCGAACGACATCCCATAATACTACCACACGGAACTACCCTTAGCAAATTGTTGGTCGAATTCACTCATAAGATCACTTTACATGGTGGTAATCAATTGATGACCCGAGTGCTAAGATCCGAATTCTGGATATTTGGACTCAAATCTCTGGTTAAACAAACTATACGAAAATGTCGAATCTGCTTAATTCACAAGAAACAAACCCAAACTCAAATAATGGCCTCGCTGCCACCCGAACGTACTTTTCTGTCTCGACCCTTTACAAACACTGGGGTAGATTTTGCAGGACCCTTTAATATTAAAAGTTATTCAGGAAGGGCTTGCTTTATTACAAAAGGCTATGTTTGCCTGTTCGTCTGCTTCGCCACCAAGGCTATACATTTAGAACCAACTAGCGATTTATCTACTTATGCCTTTCTCGCCGCTTTCTCCAGATTCATAAGTCGGCGAGGTTGTCCGTCTTGTATATTTTCCGACAACGGAACCAATTTTGTGGGAGCGGTCGATCTATTAAAGCGAGATCGATTAGCTTTCATGAAGAATATTCAAAGTAGCACAATCCAAAACAATTTCAATCAAAATCTTACTTGAAAATTTATCCCGCCTGGCGCTCCGCACATGGGCGGTTTGTGGGAGGCCGGCGTTAAATCGTTTAAAATGCATTTGCGAAAAAGTATTCCAAAAATGAATTTCACATTTGAAGAATTTACAACTATCTTAGCAAGAATTGAAGCCTGCCTTAATTCGCGACCCTTAAGTCCTGGTAGCGATGATCCAAATGACCTTTCCCCGTTAACTCCTGGTCATTTCTTAATTGGAACATCAATTCTTACTCCTGCTGAACCCGACATTTCCGACACAGATCTTAGTCTAGTAAATCGTTGGAAACGACTCAAAGTTATTTCACAATACTTTTGCAATAGGTGGAAATTAGAATATCTCCACGAACTTCACAGAAGAACTAAATGGAATCGTGAAAAGGAGAATATCAAAGAAGGAGATTTAGTAGTCATAAAGGACGATAGGTTGGCTCCAAATGAATGGAAGTTGGGTCGAATTGCAAAAACATATCTCGGTAGCGATCAGAATACGAGGGTTGTAGACTTACGGACATCAAGTGGCAACATTAGCAGACCTATCACATAAATTGTCAAATTGTTTTCCGACTGACTAGCCGGAATCCTACTTAAAAAAGAACATAGTACTCGCCTTTGGTTTTTTTCAGATATGGCTGCCTACTTGCCCAATCAAGACTGTCGTTTAGATGATCGCAGCCGCAGTCCCAACCAATCCGCACGTCCAACAGCGAGAAGTTCTAGCAGACCCAGACGCCCAACCGAACCCATTCCCAGCAGACCGGCTCATAGACACCGCAGACCCAGTTCCACATCGCCAGAAAGACGTCAACGAAGCCGCTCCGCTGCAAGATCCCGCCAACGCCAAGAACGACCCAGCTATTGGCAGTACTCCTGTGGGTTGTGTCAGGAGGACCATGCCCTCAGTGCTTGCGAGAGGTTTCGCCACCAGACCCCCTTCCAGCGCTATGAGACTGTGGAGCGTAGGGGGTACTGCAGAAATTGCCTTGCCAGAAGTCATTTGGCCCCTGACTGTCCGTCGTTGACTGGTTGCAGGAGGTGCAACAATCGGCATCATACGCTGCTACACGGGGCGTCTCAGCTGGAGGAAGTATCTCTAAACGTGGAAGTTGTAACAACACCAAACTTTGCGTGGGATTTGGTATTTGTGTCAACGGCTATGGTGCACATCAAAGCTGACAAAATAGAGGGGTACACCATGATAAGGGCATTAATCAGCCAATCAGCGACGATGTCCAAAATATCGTATGCGGCTTTCCGTAGATTGGGCTTACAATCGCGGATTTACAAAGGGCAGCGATTTACCACCTTTACGGTTTCGCCCCGCCGCACAAACAGCCACTGGAGTCTTAGAGTCAATGCCTTGATAATCGAAGATTTGCCCAGGCGCATTTACTCGGACCCGATCCTCGAGGACCCCACAAGAAGTTTCAGAAATTGCGCCCTAGCCGACCCTGATCCCCGAGGCAACAATCCCGTCGATGTGGAACTGGGTGCTGACGTTTACTCAGCCATAAGGAAAGACGAGTGCAAGGAGGCTGGAATTGGAGATGTCCTGGCCTATGATACCCAACTGGGTTACGTGTTTGCCGGTCCAATAAAAAATATGCCAAAAATATAAAGAACAATATTGTATTTCAAAAATGAATGTAAACACTTGTCATTCGGGGGCCAGAAATGTTCATCAAAGATGCTATGTTTTTACGCAACAGTGTTGTTTGTTACATTACCGGTGGCTGCATAATTTCTCCATCTAGCCCTCTATTGACGTTAAACCCGTTTCTCGACTCAAAGGGTATTATTCGAGCTAATGGCAGATTAGTTCAATCTCCAGCCCTTACATATAGCGAACGACATCCCATAATACTACCACACGGAACTACCCTTAGCAAATTGTTGGTCGAATTCACTCATAAGATCACTTTACATGGTGGTAATCAATTGATGACCCGAGTGCTAAGATCCGAATTCTGGATATTTGGACTCAAATCTCTGGTTAAACAAACTATACGAAAATGTCGAATCTGCTTAATTCACAAGAAACAAACCCAAACTCAAATAATGGCCTCGCTGCCACCCGAACGTACTTTTCTGTCTCGACCCTTTACAAACACTGGGGTAGATTTTGCAGGACCCTTTAATATTAAAAGTTATTCAGGAAGGGCTTGCTTTATTACAAAAGGCTATGTTTGCCTGTTCGTCTGCTTCGCCACCAAGGCTATACATTTAGAACCAACTAGCGATTTATCTACTTATGCCTTTCTCGCCGCTTTCTCCAGATTCATAAGTCGGCGAGGTTGTCCGTCTTGTATATTTTCCGACAACGGAACCAATTTTGTGGGAGCGGTCGATCTATTAAAGCGAGATCGATTAGCTTTCATGAAGAATATTCAAAGTAGCACAATCCAAAACAATTTCAATCAAAATCTTACTTGAAAATTTATCCCGCCTGGCGCTCCGCACATGGGCGGTTTGTGGGAGGCCGGCGTTAAATCGTTTAAAATGCATTTGCGAAAAAGTATTCCAAAAATGAATTTCACATTTGAAGAATTTACAACTATCTTAGCAAGAATTGAAGCCTGCCTTAATTCGCGACCCTTAAGTCCTGGTAGCGATGATCCAAATGACCTTTCCCCGTTAACTCCTGGTCATTTCTTAATTGGAACATCAATTCTTACTCCTGCTGAACCCGACATTTCCGACACAGATCTTAGTCTAGTAAATCGTTGGAAACGACTCAAAGTTATTTCACAATACTTTTTCAATAGGTGGAAATTAGAATATCTCCACGAACTTCACAGAAGAACTAAATGGAATCGTGAAAAGGAGAATATCAAAGAAGGAGATTTAGTAGTCATAAAGGACGATAGGTTGGCTCCAAATGAATGGAAGTTGGGTCGAATTGCAAAAACATATCTCGGTAGCGATCAGAATACGAGGGTTGTAGACTTACGGACATCAAGTGGCAACATTAGCAGACCTATCACATAAATTGTCAAATTGTTTTCCGACTGACTAGCCGGAATCCTACTTAAAAAAGAACATAGTACTCGCCTTTGGTTTTTTTCAGATATGGCTGCCTACTTGCCCAATCAAGACTGCCGTTTAGATGATCGCAGCCGCAGTCCCAACCAATCCGCACGTCCAACAGCGAGAAGTTCTAGCAGACCCAGACGCCCAACCGAACCCATTCCCAGCAGACCGGCTCATAGACACCGCAGACTTCCCAGTTCCACATCGCCAGAAAGACGTCAACGAAGCCGCTCCGCTGCAAGATCCCGCCAACGCCAAGAACGACCCAGCTATTGGCAGTACTCCTGTGGGTTGTGTCAGGAGGACCATGCCCTCAGTGCTTGCGAAAGGTTTCGCCACCAGACCCCCTTCCAGCGCTATGAGACTGTGGAGCGTAGGGGGTACTGCAGAAATTGCCTTGCCAGAAGTCATTTGGCCCCTGACTGTCCGTCGTTGACTGGTTGCAGGAGGTGCAACAATCGGCATCATACGCTGCTACACGGGGCGTCTCAGCTGGAGGAAGTATCTCTAAACATGGAAGTTGTAACAACACCAAACTTTGCGTGGGATTTGGTATTTGTGCCAACGGCTATGGTGTACATCAAAGCTGACAAAATAGAGGGGTACACCATGATAAGGGCATTAATCAGCCAATCAGCGACGATGTCCAAAATATCGTATGCGGCTTTCCGTAGATTGGGCTTACAATCGCGGATTTACAAAGGGCAGCGATTTACCACCTTTACGGTTTCGCCCCGCCGCACAAACAGCCACTGGAGTCTTAGAGTCAATGCCTTGATAATCGAAGATTTGCCCAGGCGCATTTACTCGGACCCGATCCTCGAGGACCCCACAAGAAGTTTCAGAAATTGCGCCCTAGCCGACCCTGATCCCCGAGGCAACAATCCCGTCGATGTGGAACTGGGTGCTGACGTTTACTCAGCCATAAGGAAAGACGAGTGCAAGGAGGCTGGAATTGGAGATGTCCTGGCCTATGATACCCAACTGGGTTACGTGTTTGCCGGTCCAATAAAAAATATGCCAAAAATATAAAGAACAATATTGTATTTCAAAAATGAATGTAAACACTTGTCATTCGGGGGCCAGAAATGTTCATCAAAGATGCTATGTTTTTACGCAACAGTGTTGTTTGTTACATTACCGGTGGCTGCATAAATAACATCATAAAAAAATGATGTACATATTAGACACATATGCACACACACATGCACATATATGTAGCCACCGGTAAATTCCAATTTGTACACAAAAATTCGTTTATGCAGATGAATATAATTCACTAATGAGAAAGTCTCCAATTTCTCCATCTAGCCCTCTATTGACGTTAAACCCGTTTCTCGACTCAAAGGGTATTATTCGAGCTAATGCCAGATTAGTTCAATCTCCAGCCCTTACATATAGCGAACGACATCCCATAATACTACCACACAGAACTACCCTTAGCAAATTGTTGGCCGAATTCACTCATAAGATCACTTTACATGGTGGTAATCAATTGATGACCCGAGTGCTAAGATCCGAATTCTGGATATTTGGACTCAAATCTCTGGTTAAACAAACTATACGAAAATGTCGAATCTGCTTAATTCACAAGAAACAAACCCAAACTCAAATAATGGCCTCGCTGCCACCCGAACGTACTTTTCTGTCTCGACCCTTTACAAACACTGGGGTAGATTTTGCAGGACCCTTTAATATTAAAAGTTATTCAGGAAGGGCTTGCTTTATTACAAAAGGCTATGTTTGCCTGTTCGTCTGCTTCGCCACCAAGGCTATACATTTAGAACCAACTAGCGATTTATCTACTTATGCCTTTCTCGCCGCTTTCTCCAGATTCATAAGTCGGCGAGGTTGTCCGTCTTGTATATTTTCCGACAACGGAACCAATTTTGTGGGAGCGGTCGATCTATTAAAGCGAGATCGATTAGCTTTCATGAAGAATATTCAAAGTAGCACAATCCAAAACAATTTCAATCAAAATCTTACTAAAAAATTTATCCCGCCTGGCGCTCCGCACATGGGCGGTTTGTGGGAGGCCGGCGTTAAATCGTTTAAAATGCATTTGCGAAAAAGTATTCCAAAAATGAATTTCACATTTGAAGAATTTACAACTATCTTAGCAAGAATTGAAGCCTGCCTTAATTCGCGACCCTTAAGTCCTGGTAGCGATGATCCAAATGACCTTTCCCCGTTAACTCCTGGTCATTTCTTAATTGGAACATCAATTCTTACTCCTGCTGAACCCGACATTTCCGACACAGATCTTAGTCTAGTAAATCGTTGGAAACGACTCAAAGTTATTTCACAATACTTTTGCAATAGGTGGAAATTAGAATATCTCCACGAACTTCACAGAAGAACTAAATGGAATCGTGAAAAGGAGAATATCAAAGAAGGAGATTTAGTAGTCATAAAGGACGAAAGGTTGGCTCCAAATGAATGGAAGTTGGGTCGAATTGCAAAAACATATCTCGGTAGCGATCAGAATACGAGGGTTGTAGACTTACGGACATCAAGTGGCAACATTAGCAGACCTATCACAAAAATTGTCAAATTGTTTTCCGACTGACTAGCCGGAATCCTACTTAAAAAAGAACATAGTACTCGCCTTTGGTTTTTTTCAGATATGGCTGCCTACTTGCCCAATCAAGACTGCCGTTTAGATGATCGCAGCCGCAGTCCCAACCAATCCGCACGTCCAACAGCGAGAAGTTCTAGCAGACCCAGACGCCCAACCGAACCCATTCCCAGCAGACCGGCTCATAGACACCGCAGACTTCCCAGTTCCACATCGCCAGAAAGACGTCAACGAAGCCGCTCCGCTGCAAGATCCCGCCAACGCCAAGAACGACCCAGCTATTGGCAGTACTCCTGTGGGTTGTGTCAGGAGGACCATGCCCTCAGTGCTTGCGAAAGGTTTCGCCACCAGACCCCCTTCCAGCGCTATGAGACTGTGGAGCGTAGGGGGTACTGCAGAAATTGCCTTGCCAGAAGTCATTTGGCCCCTGACTGTCCGTCGTTGACTGGTTGCAGGAGGTGCAACAATCGGCATCATACGCTGCTACACGGGGCGTCTCAGCTGGAGGAAGTATCTCTAAACATGGAAGTTGTAACAACACCAAACTTTGCGTGGGATTTGGTATTTGTGCCAACGGCTATGGTGTACATCAAAGCTGACAAAATAGAGGGGTACACCATGATAAGGGCATTAATCAGCCAATCAGCGACGATGTCCAAAATATCGTATGCGGCTTTCCGTAGATTGGGCTTACAATCGCGGATTTACAAAGGGCAGCGATTTACCACCTTTACGGTTTCGCCCCGCCGCACAAACAGCCACTGGAGTCTTAGAGTCAATGCCTTGATAATCGAAGATTTGCCCAGGCGCATTTACTCGGACCCGATCCTCGAGGACCCCACAAGAAGTTTCAGAAATTGCGCCCTAGCCGACCCTGATCCCCGAGGCAACAATCCCGTCGATGTGGAACTGGGTGCTGACGTTTACTCAGCCATAAGGAAAGACGAGTGCAAGGAGGCTGGAATTGGAGATGTCCTGGCCTATGATACCCAACTGGGTTACGTGTTTGCCGGTCCAATAAAAAATATGCCAAAAATATAAAGAACAATATTGTATTTCAAAAATGAATGTAAACACTTGTCATTCGGGGGCCAGAAATGTTCATCAAAGATGCTATGTTTTTACGCAACAGTGTTGTTTGTTACATTACCGGTGGCTGCATAAATAACATCATAAAAAAATGATGTACATATTAGACACATATGCACACACACATGCACATATATGTAGCCACCGGTAAATTCCAATTTGTACACAAAAATTCGTTTATGCAGATGAATATAATTCACTAATGAGAAAGTCTCCAATTTCTCCATCTAGCCCTCTATTGACGTTAAACCCGTTTCTCGACTCAAAGGGTATTATTCGAGCTAATGCCAGATTAGTTCAATCTCCAGCCCTTACATATAGCGAACGACATCCCATAATACTACCACACAGAACTACCCTTAGCAAATTGTTGGCCGAATTCACTCATAAGATCACTTTACATGGTGGTAATCAATTGATGACCCGAGTGCTAAGATCCGAATTCTGGATATTTGGACTCAAATCTCTGGTTAAACAAACTATACGAAAATGTCGAATCTGCTTAATTCACAAGAAACAAACCCAAACTCAAATAATGGCCTCGCTGCCACCCGAACGTACTTTTCTGTCTCGACCCTTTACAAACACTGGGGTAGATTTTGCAGGACCCTTTAATATTAAAAGTTATTCAGGAAGGGCTTGCTTTATTACAAAAGGCTATGTTTGCCTGTTCGTCTGCTTCGCCACCAAGGCTATACATTTAGAACCAACTAGCGATTTATCTACTTATGCCTTTCTCGCCGCTTTCTCCAGATTCATAAGTCGGCGAGGTTGTCCGTCTTGTATATTTTCCGACAACGGAACCAATTTTGTGGGAGCGGTCGATCTATTAAAGCGAGATCGATTAGCTTTCATGAAGAATATTCAAAGTAGCACAATCCAAAACAATTTCAATCAAAATCTTACTAAAAAATTTATCCCGCCTGGCGCTCCGCACATGGGCGGTTTGTGGGAGGCCGGCGTTAAATCGTTTAAAATGCATTTGCGAAAAAGTATTCCAAAAATGAATTTCACATTTGAAGAATTTACAACTATCTTAGCAAGAATTGAAGCCTGCCTTAATTCGCGACCCTTAAGTCCTGGTAGCGATGATCCAAATGACCTTTCCCCGTTAACTCCTGGTCATTTCTTAATTGGAACATCAATTCTTACTCCTGCTGAACCCGACATTTCCGACACAGATCTTAGTCTAGTAAATCGTTGGAAACGACTCAAAGTTATTTCACAATACTTTTGCAATAGGTGGAAATTAGAATATCTCCACGAACTTCACAGAAGAACTAAATGGAATCGTGAAAAGGAGAATATCAAAGAAGGAGATTTAGTAGTCATAAAGGACGAAAGGTTGGCTCCAAATGAATGGAAGTTGGGTCGAATTGCAAAAACATATCTCGGTAGCGATCAGAATACGAGGGTTGTAGACTTACGGACATCAAGTGGCAACATTAGCAGACCTATCACAAAAATTGTCAAATTGTTTTCCGACTGACTAGCCGGAATCCTACTTAAAAAAGAACATAGTACTCGCCTTTGGTTTTTTTCAGATATGGCTGCCTACTTGCCCAATCAAGACTGCCGTTTAGATGATCGCAGCCGCAGTCCCAACCAATCCGCACGTCCAACAGCGAGAAGTTCTAGCAGACCCAGACGCCCAAGATGGATACAGTTTACACTAGATGCTTCTGTTGAGATTCGTGGATTTTGTGACGCATCGGAGAGCGCGTATGGAGCAACGCTATATGTTCGGATTGAAAAAACTGACCATACCACACACACCTTTTTATTAGCAGCAAAGACTCGTGTAGCACCAATCAAAAAACTATCAATACCAAGGCTCGAATTATGTGGGGCAGTATTACTTTCCAAATTAGCAAAATCTATTACAAACAGTCTACAAATATCAAAATATTCAACACATTTTTGGACAGACTCTACTATCGTCTTGGCCTGGTTAAAAAAGCCTCCTTGTCACTGGAGCACCTTTGTGGGAAATAGAGTCTCGGAAATATCTGATAATGTTGGGCAAGAAAACTGGAAACATGTTGACTCTGCAAGCAACTCAGCTGACATTGCTAGTCGTGATGTTCTCCAACTGAACTAACGACTCATGAGCTCTGGTGGCATGGACCTCAATGGCTCAAAATGCCAAAAGATCGTTGGCCATCGCAAGATATCCCAAACGACACAAATTTAGAGGCTAAAGCTGTAAAAGTTCTGACTATATTTCAAGAAAGAGATGATCCATTAAAAAATTTCTCATCATTGGCAAAAGTCTACCGATCATACGCCTATGCTCTGCGATTTTGGAAAAATACTGGCGCAAATCGGCAAAATCTTCGCTCCTCATCAATAGATCTTACCGCAGCCGAAATCCAAGATGGAAAACGATCTT